ACTGAAAGGATTGTAGGGCGCTGGCACAAGGATGAATGTCACGTTGATAGGGTTTGCCAGAAAGACAATGAAATAATTGGTATTCTATATCCCTCTTTTGGTTTTCTATGAGAGATGAGGGTGGGGGTAGAAAATGAGTAGATTATGAAGTAATGGTAGATTGTCACCACATTATCCTCTAAAGGCCTTTTCAGTTCCAAAATGCAAGTTTCTCTTCCACATTTTAAGCTTAAAAAGCTTAAAAAGATAACAACTGCAACTTGGGTGCCTTTTAATTTTTTCTTTTTTTTCTGCGATACTAGGCTATAAATTTCAAAAGGATAATTAGAATCTTCTTTTGCATTCTACACACAACATAGCGTCCTACTCACAGCAAGTATTTAATTGAATAGAGAACTGATGTAAAGTATTCAGAAACACCAAAAAAAAAACACGTGTTTTAGCTGAACCTTACAGCATTTGTAATCTAGCTATAATATTGATATTTTTTAGAAATTATACTTGTATGGTTCTAATTGGCTAGAATCTAGATGGTTGAGCAGTAATCACAATATTAAATTTGCTTAGAGAAACTTTAATTACATATTTTAAATCCTGCATCTAATCATTTAGCTCTTTAAGTTTTAAATAATTGTTAATTATAGGAGGGGTGATATTTTTTTTTATCTTACTTACAGATTATCTTACTTTTGGTTCCCTCAGAAGAAACAGATGAAAATGATCTGATCCTGGAGGTAACTGCAGGAGTTGGGGGTCAGGAGGCAATGTTGTTCACTGCAGAGATGTTTGATATGTATCAGCAATATGCTGCATTTAAAGGATGGCATTTTGAAACCCTGGAATATTTTCCAAGTGAAATAGGTCAGTAAATTGTTTAATTTGTTCTGGGGAAAGAGGGTAGATTTAATTTATCTACATGTGTCCTAGGAAAAGGGGGTGGGAGGACCATGACTAGGCTTTAGAATTTATTTGTGAGGATGCTTAAGTAGTTTTATGTTCATCATTTATTTCATAATTTTGAATGCTAATATATCAATTTTGAAATGGCCTGGAAAGTGTTAGTCATGGTCTTTTAAAAGTAGTCTTTTAGACACGTTATTGAATCAACTCATTAACACTATAAATGCTTAATATTTAATAATTATAAGCCATAAAGATACTAAGTATTAAAACTGAATATTTAGTATTAAAGCACTGGATATCATAGACTTGTTCAAGTTTTTCAATGTATTTTGCATGAATAG